TGTTGTTTGTGCTGTATTTAGACCCCTTTACCAAGAAATTTGTTTTGCATGCACACGTATAAAAATTGCGGTTTTGATCCAACGCAATCATAGGTTTGAATGTTGTTTTCAATTTAGACTTGTTTATATTGTTTCGTTTGAGCTTGTATTATATTTGCCTTCGGGTTTATATGATCCGTTCATCCTATTTCGACTCTTCAAAATTCAAGAGTCTATCCAAAATTGAGGTAAATTATATGGTCTTCCAAATACCGTTTCGATTCCTAACATCACTGAAGTGACATTATTTGTCGAAATCCGGATATGGTGTACTAATTTTTGCACCTTTTGTTTGCGGTATACCATCTTATCGCAAGTTAATTGTTTTCTGTTTGATATTAAATTAATATTTCAGATCTATTTTGTTTCATCTGGCGATCATTTTATTTGGCAATCGCCAATAGCAGTCAGCAGGGTTTAAGAACATCCGTTGTTCGACCTGCTAGTCAAATGCGTTTTGTTAAAATATACTTTGTCACTTCTTTTGGTCTTTTGGACACACGTATAAAAAACGCAATTTTTATACGTGTGCATGCAAAACAAATTTCTTGGTAGAGGGGTCTAAATACAGCACAAACAACATTTTCCAAAAGACCAAATGAGTGAAAAAGTATATTTTAACAAAACGCATTTGACTAGCAGGTCGAACAACTGAAATTCTTAAACCCTGCTGACTGCCATTGGCGATTGCCAAATAAACGGATCACAAGATGTAACAAAATAGATCTTATTATTAATTTATTACAAAACAGAAAACACTAAACTTGCGGAAAAGATGGTATACCGCAAACATGAGGTGCAAAAATTTGAACACCATATCCGGATTTCGACAATTAATGTATCTTCAGTGATGTTAGGAATCGAAACGGTATTTGGAAGGCCATATAATTTACCTGAATTTAGGATAGACTCTTGAATTTGAAAGAGTCAAAATAGGATGAACGGATCATATAAACCCAAAGGCAAATATAATACAAGCCCAAACGACAAAATATAAACAAGTCTAAATTGAAAACAACGTTCAAACCTATGATTGCGTTGGATAAAAACCGCAATTTTTATACGTGTGCATGCAAAACAAATTTCTTGGTAGAGGAGTCTAAATACAGCACAAACAACATTTTCCAAAAGACCAAATGAGATACAAAGTATATTTTAACAAAACGCATTTGACTAGCAGGTCGAACAATGGACGTTCTTAAACCCTGCTGACTGCTATTGGCGATTGCCAAATAAAATGATCACCAGATGTAACAAAATGGATCTTAAATATTAATTTAATATCAAACAGAAAACAATAAACATGCGGAAAAGATGATATACCGCAAACAAAAGGTGCAAATATTAGTACACCATATCCGGATTCCGACAATTAATGTCTCTTCAGTGATGTTAAGAATCGAAACGGTATTTGGAAGGCCATATAAATAACCTCAATTTTGGATAGACTCTTGAATTTTGAAGAGTCGAAATAGGATGAACGGATCATATAAACCCAAAGGCAAATATAATACAAGCTCAAACGAAAAAATAAAAACAAGTCTAAATTGAAAACAACGTTCAAACCTATGATTGCGTTGGATAAAAACCGCAATTTTTATACGTGTGCATGCAAAACAAATTTCTTGGTAGAGGGGTCTAAATACAGCACAAACAACATTTTCCAAAAGACCAAATGAGTGAAAAAGTATATTTTAACAAAACGCATTTGACTAGCAGTTCGAACAACTGATGTTCTTTAACCTACTGACTGCCATTGGCGATTGCCAAATAAACAGATCACAAGATGTAACAAAATAGATCTTATTATTAATTTATTACCAATCAGAAAACAATTAACTTGCGGAAAAGATGGTATACCGCAAACATGAGGTGCAAAAATTTGTACACCATATCCGGATTTCGACAATTAATGTCTCTTCAGTGATGTTAGGAATCGAAACGGTATTTGGAAGACCATATAATTTACCTGAATTTAGGATAGACTCTTGCATTTTGAAAGAGTCAAAATAGGATGAACGGATCATATAAACCCGAAGGCAAATATAATACCAGCCCAAACGAAAAAATATAAAAAAGTCTAAATTGAAAACAACGTTCAAACCTATGATTGCGTTGGATAAAAACCGCAATTTTTATACGTGTGCATGCAAAACAAATTTCTTGGTAGAGGGGTCTAAATACAGCACAAACAACATTTTCCAAAAGACCAAATGAGTGAAAAAGTATATTTTAACAAAACGCATTTGACTAGCAGGTCGAACAATGGATGTTCTTAAACCCTGCTGACTGTCATGGCGATTGCCAATTAAACGGATCACCAGATGTAACAAAATGGATATTAAATATTAATTTAAAAACAAACAGTAAACAATAAACTTGCGGAAAAGATGGTATACCGCAAACATGAGGTGCAAAAATTTGTACATCATATCCATGTTTATATATAGATGTTCAGGAGGGATATTTGCGAAAAACACCACTCTTGAAACGAAATTTCGGCTCAGGATGCTATAGCTACTTAATAACACCGAATATCAATAGAAATGATTCAGTTAAAAGTTCGGAATCTAATTCTATCAAAATTTCGTAAAAAGACGTTAGCATAACAGTCACATTTTAATCGTCCCCGTGAAGGATAAAAAATACATATACTCTTTGGCAAATACCACGACAGAGACAGTAAAAAGGCATATCATTGTACATATATACAGGCAATGGTGAAATATGAAGATCCTTCATCTGACTGAAAAAAATAAAGAAGAAAAATGCACTTGATTGCAACCATTCAAAATTGAGGATACTTATTTTTAATTATGATATGAACAGAAATAGCCGATTCTAAAAAAAGAAAATGCCAAAATTAATAATTGGGTTTGTCATGTGTGCATTTGCCTTAGTAAAATATCAACATATTTTTTAATCCGCTTTGTTGAAAAACAGTTATGTTTTAAAATTTCAATTTAAAGTTTTGCAGATTCAGTAACAAACATTAAACAACTTTAGAAAAAAATTGTTCAGAGAACAATTGGAGGTCTTTCCACATTAAATATCTAAACAATTAATAAGAAGCTACTTCGGTTTACTCAAAGTTACTATATCGTAAAGTCATAGGTTTCTTCTTATGGATTAAAAAAACATATGGTTTCTTCCTTTTGTCTGAACTGATGGAGATAATTTGCTACTTCCGGTTTAGAAAATGTGACTTCTGTCCTCATATGATAGCTTTATTTACGTTGATTCCAAAAAATATATGGTTTCTATATACTTTTGCCTAAAATAAAGGAGAAAGTTAGCTACTTTTGGTTTATAGAAGGTCACTTCCGGTCACTAATGATGGATTTATATGGTTTTAAGTACTTTATATGAAAAAAGTGCAACAATTGCTACTTCTGATTACTCAAGGTCACTCCTGGTTGACATTTTACATATGTCATCCAACATTTTGCTAAGAACCTTATGGCTTTATTACATACCAAGTTGAAGTAATAATCAATTAACCTTAAATTAAAGCATTTCAGGGGCAATAACTCCTATAATAACATAAACGGTATTATTTTTTCTGCACCAGCTTCGCATTTTCGACAATCAATGTCTCTTCAGTGATGATCGAGGCAAAAATATTTGAAAATCCAAAGCTCATTAAAAGGATGGAGTGCTATAAACCAAAAAGGACAAAACGTATAGCGAAAACCGGGCAAGGAATCAGAGCTTTGAATGAGGGAGATACATTCCTTAACTTTAAATAATGTCAAAAAATTTGTAACAGCAAATTTTAATAACACAAAATCCGTATTTTCATGCCAGTATCGAAGTACTGGCTACTGGGATGGTGATACCCTCACGGACTATCAGTCCACCAGCAGAGGCATCGACCCAGTGGTAGTAATAACATACACGGCACCAGAAGATTTCATTGGATAGTTTCAGACCATATGTGTCATATCTTCATCACAATAAAGCAAACATTTTGCACTAGTTCTTTTATATATTTTCTAAAAGTGTCAGAGGAGATCATAAAACAAGCAAAACTCAAAATCTAGAACATGACCTTAACGTTTGACCTCGACATCATTTTGTAAGATAGAACCCAAGGACCCCAAATAAAAAACTAGGTTAATATGGCTTACGGTTTATGAGTTGCAAAGACATAGCGACAAATTTATTTGGTAAAGGTAGATAACTCCTATAAGATGTCAATGGATCGCTTCGATCCAAATCAGCCAAACATTTCTTAAAATGTAACGAAATGTAAAAAGAATTTTGTCGTTATCTTTTTTTTTTGGTTACGGAGAAGATACAATAACAAGAAACAAAGTGTTTGGGGAAATAACTCGCACAATGAAAAGTTTCGGCTAAACAAAATGAGTTTCAAAAGCGCAATTATTGTTCGATATAATATCCAAAATATCTAAGCGACATCTTGAGAAACCAATTTATACCGCAAGAAAAGGGTTTAGAGGAAACAGAAAAAAATAATTTGGGTTGATAACTCCAATAAGACGTCACATCTGGATCGCATCGATCCAAATCAGCCTAAACTTCCTGATGATGTAATGCATGCAAAAACAAACAAAAGCCAAAATTGAAAACATGACCTTGACCCTGACCTCATTTCTAAGTTAGGACCCAAGAACCTCAAATAAAAAGGCACTTTTTCATTAAATTAGTGTGGAAATTGAATAAGGGACGGAAATAAAATTTCAGAATTCTATTTTGTGTATTTTTGAAAAAGTGATCATGCTTTGAGCATCGACTTCATCAACTTTATATTGACCTAATATCTGTGGTCAATAGTCAGACAAAAAGATGTTTTGCCGTACCACTTTTAAGGCCATTGCTACTAAAGCATTTTTTTTTCAAACAGGGACTCGTCTATTAAGATGGAAACTATGTATTAGCGTTTCTGAACTAGTCGTTAAGATGAGATTGCGGAGCAAATGATATTGTTTTTATTTTAGACCAAAGAAGTATATAAAAAAGGTAAAGACGAAAGAGGGTTTTTACTGGTAATAAACTTTGAGTTTGCAGGAAGGAAAGACGAGAGGACAGGTACGTTGAAAATTTGCTCTCTGAATTTTTATTTCAAAACTGACGTTAGAAGAACCAAATTTGGATAATTTTCTGAACAACCTTAAACCTAGTGCTGCATCTAAAATATTCATAGATGCTTGATATCATTGTTTGCATGACCACTTACACATTTCGATCATCTTTGTTTTGTCTATTTTGTTTTATTTATGTTTTCTGCTCTCAAAGAAAGCACAAATGGTTAAGCTCAGTTAAATACTAAAAAAAGCATCATGTCTGATATCATTGCATACAGTTGTTTTTATTTCCATTAATAGTTGTGTTCCTCAATTTGAGGCAAAATAGGGCATTGACCCAATTCTAGTCGCTTATAGATATATATATATATTTAGAATCAGTGTTAATAATTACGATATGAATTGAAAGTTTTTGTTAAGTAAAGAAGAAGTAAAGTCCCCATTTTCATAAAGGTATTATAATATATCTGTTTGATTTAATCAGTGTAAGATAAGTTATCTTCTTTAATTGATAATTTTAACCTAAAGATAATGTTGTTTTTCTTCTTTATTCTATAGCTAATACCAGCATTGTTATTCCCGCTGCGGCGGAGGGGGCATTAAGTGTTACCCTTGTCCGTCCTAAAATTGGTTTCCGTTCTCTAACTATTTTGCCTCAACAAAATGTTATGAAACTTATCTGAGACTACTATAACACAGAGATTGGTCACTCGCGATTTCGCAATAAGACCGTGACTACTGGTAAAGTTGACAACGTTATTTTAATGTAGTTTCGTATGAACAGCTAGGAACTTCAATTTCGTATCTAACCGTAGCAGACGACACATAACCACTGTTCCCGCTTTCACATAATCAGTATCGGGTATTATTCTCTTTAAAAACAAAGCAAAATATTTTTTATCTATCAATTGCAGTTATCACTATTCATTTGAAAATGGTTTTTTTAATTACTTTAGTTTTTTCCGTTATGCGACTCTTGAAAATGTGAATGAATCTGAATGTGTATAGTTTAATCTCATTAATCTTACATAATGTTTTACTGACAACTTGTGATGACAGGTAATTTCAAAACTATGGGAGATAAATTTTAAGTTCACAGCTGGGTACCCAAGATACACGAAGGCTCCGTTTATTGTAGTAAACATTTATCAGGGTGTGGATGGCGATTTACAAAATAGAGAATAATTGGCAAAAATTATAAAGAAAAGAGAAAATGGACCAACAAAATAAAGAATAGAGAATATTGAGGTGCTAAAATGTAAAGAATAGAGAATAATGGACTAAAAGTATAAAGAATAGAGAACAATAGCCTAAAAATTAAAGAATACAGAAATGAAGGACCCCATCAAGACTCTCCTTTATTTCATACCTTTATTTTCATACCTTATTTCATAGTTTCAAAAGCAAGATTGATTTTGATTTCACAGCTGGGTGATCAGGATACATGAAGGCTTCGTTTATTGTAGAAAAACTTGTCAAATATCGTCGGTGCACTAGTTTATTCGCTGTGAATATGATTAAGATACATGCAATCATCTGAATTTTTTCTTTGAAATTTTTTGGCTTTTAATCAATGATTGTTTCAATTTAAACAGATCTTTAACGAAAAAAAAAAAAAAAAAGATTTGATAATGCAGTAGTTGCCGAATTCGTTTTCTATTTTAATGTTTATTACTTATCCCAAAAAGAAAGATTTGTAGTGTATTAGATTTGGTAATTATGCAAGAATCTCAAAGTTATAGAAATGTGACAAAACTTAAATCCAAAGTTTTCCCAACGTGATTTTTATTTGTTAACCAATTCTTTCAGAGCTTCCGTCTGACCCCCCTTTTTTTCTGTTTTATTTCAATCTTTGCATATTTCGTTAATGAAAAAGGGGAGGTTTTTTCCCTAATCAAATTATTTTTTAACGAAATAATTTAATGAGGATGTTTTTTGGTATGATAATTAATATATATATATATATATATTGCTGAGAGTTTGTGACAATACCTATTCTTCAGTTTCCGTGGTCATTTAAGAAAAAAGCAAAGCCTAATCATTTCCTTCTTGCAATATATGTATGCCCATGATATATTCGTGGACAAAAGACACGTCACGTGTACATTAAACATATAATGCAAAGTTTGTTTCTCATATGAAATATAAAGATACTATACCATGTTTTCCTCAAATCCACATTTATAACGAAATGCTTAAAAACAAGAGTTATTGCCTCAAACCAAATCAACCGTTGTGACTTGAAATCTATTTTGAGGACAACTGTTTCAATTTATTCAATTAAAAAAGTCCGTTGATGGAGAATTATCAAATTTCAATTTCAAGCCAGAAATGAGTCACAAATGAAACGTGAATTAAACAAAATTCCCTTTTAAACGGCAAATTGGTATTTCACATGTTTATAAATTTTACATCACCGTAGAAGATTATAATTATAGACTGCATAAATATTATCCAGGAAACCAAATATTAGTCTGAATTTTTTCCATTAACAATACAAATTGACCTGTAAAACCTCATGTTCTGTATTATGCACCTTGACTGGTGTACGTCTACTTCAGGGGAACTCTAATGTAGACAAATTGGTATTTCATATAAATACAAATTTTACATCACTGCATAGTATTAACACTAAAGAATGCAGTAATACTATCCAGGAAACCAAATATTAGTCTGATTTTTTCCCATTAACCATACAAATTGACCTGTAAGACCTACAGTATTTTCTCTTCCGTAGTCAACAATGGCGGATCGATGCCTTCTTGTCAATCATTTCGCGTCACGTGCACGTGACGGAGTCACGTGATCGTAGGCATCGTTTTAATTACAATTTGACTAGGCAGTACGGAAAGTGACCAATCTCTGTTTTATAGTAGTCTCAGAAGGTATACACAATGCTTATTACTACAAAACACAGATCAAGTTAAAATTTGGATGGCGTCACTTTTACCGTTCTCGAGTAATGCCCCTTTTTAACGGGCATCATCTGTGTCCCATGGAAACATTCTCCATTTATTTTATTTGAAGACGAAAAAAAGACATTCATTAAGTTCTTAAAGGGCATTAGCTACGAGATATATAAAAAATCAAAATTTTTATTTTTTTTATTCAATCATTAATGAAAGTGATATAGTAAAATAATTCGCTTTTAGCATTCAATTTGGTTCAATTTTGTCAAAATAAGCTAGGAAACATCTCTGATGAATTATTTACTTGCAAGAGAGTGATTCTACCACATAGAATCCGTATTCATGTGACCTTCAATTTAATCTCTTAGCTGGAGAGTGGTAGGCATGTATTCGGCTATTAAAAGGAAGAGAATGTCAACATAATGGTTTACTTTTATGAATTAAGACTTGGATGGAGAGTTGTCTCATTGGCACTCATACCACATCTTCTTATATCTATTGAAAGTGAAACAAGGATGAACCATTTGGGTGACTGTTTGAACCACAAAAAAATCATTCTTATACAGGTAAAAACGATGATAAACATAGTTTTTAACCTACGATATGAAATCAGACAGACCTAGAAAAAGCCAATTGCACATGGTCGCTTTCTGTTTATATTCATTTTCTTGTTTATATCGGGTTATATGACCGTCGGCAGTCTTCGGATAGTCTCGATAGTTAATTACATGACGTCTAGACAAAAATACACACGAAATATTGATACATATTATCGAGTCCATGTATTGTTAATTGTTTGTTTTAGACTTTTTGTAATTTGGATATACGTTTTAGTATGTTATAAATCAAATATGAAAATTTGAATCAAAACGGTGAACATGAATTTGACAGGTGATGCCTTTTTAATCTGGCTACTTTATAGTACATCGGTTCAAAAGATCCTTCAAGCATCAATTGAAAATGAGGGTACTCTTTGCTTTTAACAGGCAAAAAAAAAAAAGAAGACACAAAACATGATTTAGTATCACACACCATATCTAAAGTTTAAAGGCTCCTGTTTTATAGGTTCTCAAAAAGATGTCGATGATTTGAAAACTTTCTTCGAAACACTGAAGTATCATGTGGAATGTCGGTCAGATATATCAAAAGAAGAGCTGGAAGAGTGCCTAAAGGATATAAGAGACACGTACCTTATTGCAGATGCTGACAAATATTACTCTTTTTTCTGTATTGTTATGAGTCATGGCAACGCTGTAAGTTTATTTCATGACATCGTTTATTTTTTCTCCCTTTGATGTATACTATACATATTTAATTGTTTTATTGTTTGATTCCATAACAACGGAAGCCAGTATGCATTTACAAAGAAGTGTGAATTATGTTCTCACTGATGTGACGGCATGGTAATTACATTATCATCCTTTACGATGCACAAAACATAGCTGATCTGAAAGATATACCATCCTACTTGCCATTATATATCATGTACTGTGCGGAACTAGCCAATTGTTTTCGGAAATCCAATTCTGAGAAAATGCATCTACAGCTTCAGAATCAGGATTCCTGAACAAAGAATTAAATCAAGCTATCTTCTTATTGTAATAGTTAGCAAAACAATAAATTGTCCCAACATTTCATCTATAAATCAAAACAATTCCAGAGAAACACAATCTTGGTGATTTATCATTTTGCTGATATAATCCACTTTTGTTTTTTTGACCTGGGTACCCATTGTATATCTATAGAAATACATTAAAGAATACATATAGATTAAATTTTGACTATTTTAACGCAATTTTGATAATCTGTACACCACTTAAGAGTTTCACCTTTCAATGTAATTTTGTATGATCTTCAAGCAAGTTCAATAGCTCTCAGTTTTTTCAATGTAGAACTTTGTATTATTTGCTATATTATTAGCCATTTTGTGGAAAAGCTTTGAACCTACCTCAACAATAAAGGTGCCCGCTAGCGTCTGAATAAATTACTACCGAAGAGCAACTATAAGCAGACAAATGTCTGCTGTTAAGAGTCGTAAAATTTTCTAACTTGTTCTTTTCCAACTATTCCTAATTACCAAGCAGATATCCAGTTGAAATTAACAAAAAGAAAAGGAACTCTTTATTACAGAAGGTAAAAAAGGCCAAGTTGGTATATTTGAATTGTTTACATCTGTTTCTACGGGCTTTAAAAGTTTAATGTAAGTGCACAATTTAGGACTTTTTGCATCTTACATTCTTGTTTTTACTTAAATTATAGTATAGTACTTCGAGATATTTGTAAACTTTTAAATTAAAGACAAATTTTCACGAAGCAGTCGACTGTGGTAGGAACAAAAACATGTGGACCTTTATTGTGCATAGGCATAAATTCCGCCAAAAAAAACAAAAAAAAAATCCACAGAAAGATAAAATAATTATCCTTTTAAAGCATTAATTTGCATCTCTACCCCTAGCGACAGTTTTTTTGTGAAAAAATCATCCTAAAAATGGACAATAATCTCTTCAAAAAGGGAAAGTCGAGTACACCTTTTAATATTCAGGCGTCTTTGAGTTGACTGTTTTGTCTTGAAAAAAGAAAAAGCTAAAATATTTGAGACATCATCTTGCTTCAGATTCTATTGTTTTTATATATTAAGGCTACATGTTGATATGATAACATTAAAATTCACAGTACTAAAAAATTAAATATATAGGTCATTAGACAAGTGAAATACCTTTCTAATGAGCCATAATAATAGAGTAGGTGTGTTTGTATAACAAATTTTGACTAAAAGTACTTGACGACAGACTTTACAAGTGGATCTTAAAAATGCATAACTTCAAAAAATTTTTAAGGTTTTGTGTTTGGTATCTAGGATAATAAGTCTTCAGCCTCTGAAAATATTTAGTCTGCCCTTCCACGAAATATTTAATTAGACTTTTTAGCTCACCTGGCCCGAAGGGCCAAGTGAGCTTTTCTCATCACTTGGCGTCCGTCGTCCGTCGTCGTCCGTCGTCGTCGTTAACTTTTTACATTTTGAACTTCTTCTAGAGAACCACTGAATGGAATTAAATCAAACATGGCATGAATGTTCCTTATGAGGTACTGACCAAGTGTTGTTACTTTGTAACGGATCCATCATCCAAGATGGCCGCCAGCGGGGGACTTAATTTAACATAGGACCCTATGGGAAATACATACAAATGTCTTCTTTTAGAGAACCACTGAATGGAATGAAACCAAACATGGCATGAATGTTCCTTATGAGGTACTGACCAAGTGTTGTTACTTTGAAGCTGATCGATTATCCAAGATGGCCGCCAGCGGGGGACTTAGTTTAACATAGGACCCTATGGGAAGTACATACAAATGTCTTCTTTTAGAGAACCACTGAATAGAATGAAACCAAACATGGTATGAATGTTCCTTATGAGGTGCTGACCGAGTGTTGTTACTTTGAAGCCGATCCATAATCCAAGATGGCCGCCAGCGGGGGACTTAGTTTAACATAGGACCCTATGGGAAATACATACAAATGTCTTCTTTTAGAGAACCACTGAATAGAATGAAACCAAACATGGCATGAATGTTCCTTATGAGGTGCTGACCGAGTGTTGTTACTTTGAAGTTGATCCATAATCCAAGATGGCCGCCAGCGGGGGACTTAGTTTAACATGGGACCCTATGGGAAATACATACAAATGTCTTCTTTTAGAGAACCACTGAATGGAATGAAACCAAACATGGCATGAATGTTCCTTATGAGGTGCTGACCAAGTGTTGTTACTATGAAGCCGATCCATAATCCAAGATGGCCGCCAGCAGGGGACTTAGTTTAACATGGGACCCTATTGGAAATACATACAAATGTCTTCTTTTAGAGAACCACTGAATGGAATGAAACCAAACATGGCATGAATGGTTCTTATGAGGTGCTGACTTAGTGTTGTTACTTTGAAGCCGATCCATAATCCAAGATGGCCGCCAGCAGGGGACTTAGTTTAACATGGGACCCTATGGGAAATACATACAAACGTCTTCTTTTAGAGAACCACTGAATGGAATGAAACCAAACATGGCATGCATGTTCCTTATGAGGTGTTGACCAAGTGTTGTTACTTTGAAGCTGATCCATCATCCAAGATGGCCGCCAGCGGGAGACTTAGTTTAACATAGGAGCCTATGGGAAATACATACGTCTTCTTTTAGAGAACCACTGAATGCAATGAAACCAAACATGGCATGAATGTTCCTTATGATGTGCTGACCAAGTGTTGTTACTATGAAGCCGATCCATAATCTAAGATGGCCGCCAGCGGAGGACTTAGTTTAACATAGGACCCTATGAGAAATACATACAAATGTTTTCTTTTAGAGAACCATAAAAATGGAATGAAACCAAACATGGCATGCATGTTCCTTTTGAGGTGCTGACCAAGTGTTGTTACTTTGAAGCTGATCCTTCATCCATGATGGCCGCCAGATGGGGACAATGTTTAACAAAGGACCCTATGGACAATACATACAAATGTCTTCTTTTAGAGAACCACATACTGAATGGATTGAAACCAAACATGGCAAGAATGTTCCTTATGAGGTGCTGACTAAGTTTTGTTACTTATAAGCTGATCCTTCATCCATGATGGCCGCCAATGGGAGAAATTCCTTTAACATAAGACCCTATGGACAATACATACAAATGTCTTCTTTTAGAGAACCACTTACTGAATGGATTGAAACCAAACATGGCAAGAATGTTCCTTATGAGGTGCTGACTAAGTTTTGTTACTTTGAAGCTGATCCTTCATCCATGATGGCCGCCAATGGGGGGACTTCCTTTAACATAAGACCCTATGGGAAATACATACAAATGCTTCTTCTAGAGGTGCACTGAATGGAATGAAACCAAAACATGGCATAAATGTTTCTTATGAGGTGCTGATGAAGTGTTGCTACTTTGTTGCCGATTAACTGTTCAAAATGGCCACCAGGATTTTTTTATTAACTTACAGGACCAATATTAAACCAAATTTGGCCTCACTCATTATTAGGGTATCTGTTATGATTTTAATCTATTTTTACATGATTTCCAAAACCAAAGTAGAATCATGTGAGCGACACAGGCTCTTGAGAGCCTCTAGTTTTAGTATTATTTACCCTTCTAAAATTCCCTCTGACAACCGATCAGAAAACTTTTTAAAGTTTACAAAACATTGCAAAAGGGCCTAGGCATAAACGCATATTTAATGATGCTTAATAGCTAGTAGATACATTTGTCTTTTAAAATACAACTGTCATGTAAGAATCGTAATGAAGCTATGTGGATAAATTTATCGGTTTTCAGGAGCTAAATTGACAGCGCGTCATCCCTACAATGGCTTCCATTTTCACGATTAAAAAAATTAGGTGGCGTAATGGGGATATAATTTTGACGAAGTAGAATCCTGACTGTAATAACGAATCCCAAGTAGCTATAAATTCAAGATCATACAACAATAACGGGTCATTAATTTAATTATATTACCAATTACAGGCGACATAGCTATGATCCGTCCCGTTACCTGAGCTAAATGCCTAGCTGTAGTCTGCGGAAAAGTCGACAAAACAGAATTCAGGGAATCTATGAGATCTCTTATTCTTCTATTAGAAATAAGCAAAACATACCTTTTTGAATCTCATAAAATGGCAAGCCATTCAAGTATCTGGACCGGCTCAAAAATGGATTTTCATCATTAATAAAAAAAAAAAACCAAAAAAAAAAAACCACCGGCAGATGTTAAAGATTTTCGAGTGAACTCGTAGTCTTTTTTAAAAGAGTCATAATCCACACTCAAACATAAGCCATAATCTTACAAAAAAACTATGTTGATTACCTTTACTCAACAATACTTCACCATTGCTTTCGAACACTAACGTAAATAAATGATAATAAATAAAAGTCCATTTGGTAATACAATAAAACAGTAGTAAATTCCTAGCTAAGAAATCATACATAAGTTTGTTGCTGAGTACTGATATCAAAATGACGGTACCTGGACCTTACAATATATATAAGCGGCAATGTTTGCAAAATAACCAAATTGCAACCTTCCAATCATCATATTTAAATCAGTTTCTTTTTTCCTGATTTATGTGTTGCAACACTAAGCGTATTGACAATACAATGGTTTGAAATGGACGTTAATATCACAACCATTGGCTACTTATTCAGATACATCTTTGTCGAGAAAAACTGGATTAATGAAGGCCGATTTATTATTATTGAAATTTGTTTTTCAAGAGCTTCTGTGAAGAAATTACATAACGTTGGGAAATAATATCTAAAAATAAAAACACTAGCGCCAATATCTTTCCAGTAACGAATGTTTTTTTTAAGATTGCCTTTTACACCTTAAGAACTGTTTTTTTTTAAATTACAATTTTCAAAAAAGATAGTTTGTTTTAAAAAGACCTCGAGATCCGTCAAACCAGTATTACTCCATATACTACAAATAGATTTAATAAGTACTTATCATTAAATGTATCTGAAGATATGTTGGGCGCCTTGCTGCTTCTAGTAGCCTGAATTGATTGTGTTCTGGTTGCTTCTAATGTTGAGAGGACAGTATGTTTTTCCATTGATCAATTTTCCGGCACAGGAAGCATATATTCCATCGGCACAGCTCACGCCGTTCGAAGCCCAAATAAAAGGCCTGTTGATGAGTAGAACGGCGACTATAAGTGCTATAAGAATTTGGTGCAGTTTCAGATCTGGCATTCGTATGTGCACTGGCACACGGAATAGAACGGTTACGTTTCTCCTTGATAGACAAGACGACTCTAGGTTCTGCTTGTCTAATTTTCTTTTCATCTTCGGTAGTTTTGGCAATTTAATTTTGCTCACACTCCCTCACTGTTGACCAACCCGATGTAGAGGTATCAGCAATGCGAATACGTTTATCGCGTGCTTTAAATCTGACAACAAGATCAGATACCAGCGAAATACCAGTTGCCCTAAAATGTTATGTTTCTGTAATATAGATAGCCCAGAGAGGATTTCCTCATTATACCGATACTGAATTTTGTTCTCTTTGCTTTTAAATTTCAAATTAATTTCCTTTTTAACACTCAGAAATAATTACCTACTTTAAATAGAACAGCTTATTGTCAGAATAAGTTTTGAATAAATCAAAGGTATCAACTATACCTTGCCTAGATTCACTAGAATCTTGATTGACCGCGGCTGTGGAAGGCTCACCTTGTCCACTACTAGATTCGTGGTCAGAAACATCTTCATTTGGTTCAGATATAACGTATTGTGATGTATATGAACTGAAAACTGAGCTTCAATTGATAACACACCGTAGGTTGATAAACAAATAAATCCATTCCGGCTTTTGAAATTCGTGAAACACAAGTTGCGACTTTAAACTAAAAATTTAACATAACTGTCAGAAAAGTCCAATTCGGACCAAAGGTCAATGTTTATTTAAATAAATATAATTTAACAAATACACGTGAATGTACACGTGGATACGGTAATAGAGACACGTGTATAAGATAACAGAAATAAATATATATAGTCTAGTAAAAAACTCAAACGTATATATATGTTAAACAAGAACATTATCTATGATGCTGTATTTGAATGAATGTACACATTTGAAATGCTTTCACAATTCTGTTTCTATACTGGTTACACCAAATTTACAAATTAACATCATTGATTTATTCCAGGAAGGTATCAAAACTTGTAAAGGAACCATTACTACGGATGAGATTGTCGAGTACTTTAAAACCAGTAAAACGAAGCCATTTAAAGGTAAGTGAAGTCAATCAGACCAATTAGGTTAAAACTGCGTTGCATGATTTTTAAATATTGTTTCCTAATAGTACAGAGGAATGTTTCTGTCAGGAATATGACAGTTGTTTTCCATTTGTTTGATGTGTTTGAGCTTTTGATTTTGCCATTTGGTAAGGGACTTTCCGTTTTGAATTTTCCTGGAGTTCGTTATTTTTGTTATTTTACTTTTTAACTCAACTGCTGCATTTGATAAAACGACAAAAGAACAGTTAACCGTAAAATTTTCTCGTTATAAAAATAGAATAGATAATTATAAAAATGTCCATAAGTTATTTGATAACTGTATAAATTTTGTCTCATGAAAATGCGTTTTGATTAAGAGTGTATGATAATGCCACTTGATTCCGTTAATAACAAGATATAGAATAATTTGTAAATAACGTTCTTTAATTTGGTCATATATCGGAAGTAAATAGGCAACATTTTCCTACTTTTTCTTTTTAGATTTTATTCCCCTCCTGACTACTATTTTGGGGATTTGATAAATACATATATACATTGATATGTTCTTTGCTTGAAATAAGGGATATAATTTCCCCATTCCTGTTTAAAAATATCACTTTCGTTTGAAATAATACGTCGCTTTACACAAGTCAAGACCACTAAATTTCTGACATCAGAATACATTTGCATAGTAATTTCATAAATACAAAATGTAAACATGCCCCTGAGAATTGGCCAAGAGACACAATGAAACACAATGCATTGTGGGCTATTAAGAGTTTATTATCACTTAAGAACACGTGGAATTGGCAAATAAGTGTCATTTTGTATTGTTTCTCGGTATCTCACGTTTGATTTTTTTGTTCATCTACTGTTAGTGCGGTGACGGAATAGGAACAAGTCGATTATTAAAAAAGTTTAATATCATTTCATATTACACAGCTAAAAATTTGCACAGTCCTAGAAAATTAATTTGCTTGAATTTAAGATTGGTCGTCATAAAGTCATATGGTGCAGTTTTTTAATTTTATCGTTTAGCTATCAAATTAGACTAAAAATGCAGATCATGAGTGGCATGCAGTTTTGCTTGTTTTTCAATTGCTGCACTCAATTATATTTCATTTTTTTATGTTATTCAAACATCACACACACTGCTTTATTCATTAATCGAAAAAGCTAATCGTAAAAGCCTTTTGATGACAAATTATGAAGATACAAAGTACTGTAAACGGGGACATTTTGTGTTTTACCGGATTCCAACATCATACAATAAAGCGCTAACGTATAAACTGTATCGTAACTACTGTAAATTAATAAAACTGCAATTTCTCTTTTCATATACACAAGTTTTTTTTATGAAATAAGATTCTTTTAAACAATTCTGTTTTTAAACTTTCAAATATCTACTATTAAATCATTAACTTAAATAATTTCTGAAAAGTTGTGTCCGGTCCCTATTAGGGCTGAATGATTAGTTTTCCTCATAAAGTTAGGACTTCATATGTATTGTATTTGTTGCTGTTTTATTGTTTCTTTGATTTTTTTTTTTGGGTGTTCGTAAGTCTTTCTGAGGTTTAGTTGGTATAGTTTTATTTATATATGAGGCAAAATAAGTTTTTGAGTTGTATAGTTGGGATCCGACAAAATCCCAAAAGATGACAAAACTGGGAAGTCCGTTGAAACTTGGCTTGTAGCATTTCAAAGTAGCATACATTAAGTTTAATCATTTGAATAGTGTTATTTTTTCAAAAGCAGAAGTGGGTCAGTTGTTTTATTTAACAGTTAATCGTGGTTCGTGGTATTTTGACACAGTTGACAGGTGTAAAGATGAAATAACTCGGAATTGATGATTGTGACTTTGTCTTATTCGATGGATAATATACCGAAGAGAAGTTTGGAAATTGTCTATTATAAAAGTTGAAAAAAAATGATGAAAAAGTCAAAATAACATAATGGTGTTTACAGTCATAATTTAAATTGGAAATACAGAACCTTCTCAAAGACTTAATTAAAATCATTTTGCCTAGTTCTTTAATTTGAAGTTCAGATATATCAAGATGTCCTGTCACTCTATAACCAACATTTCAGTCATTGCTTACGTTTCATATATCCCAGAGAGCTTGTGATAAAGGATACTACCGAATCCAGAATGGCTGCTTCATATCTTGACCTTTTCCTTGATATTGACACAGATTGACGACTTCAAACAAAAATCTATGACAAACGTTACATGATGATGTTAAAATTTCCAATGTCAATGTCCCAGTTCTCAATAAAAGCATACCCTCTACTCCATCGTATGGCTTTCGGTATCTCAACTGATACCTTACGCGCATGCATGTTGATACCAAAGGGATATTCAAACTTAATAGTCGAAGACAATTTCACAACGCCATGTCAAAAGTCGAAGAACGACGTAAAGACAAATAAAATTCTACAAAACACTTTATAGAAAATTAAAGACTGATCAACTCGAACCTAACTAAAACCCGGGGGTTATCTCATGTGCCCCCAAATGGCTAGCAGATTTTGTTCCACATGTGGCACCTGTGTGTTTGGCTCGTGTTAATACGAATTCGGTTATATGTACAAAGTTATGAGGAAGAACCGGCGACTGGAATGGCCACAAAGTAAATTTTAAGGTCACCATCACGAATTGCGTTACTTTTAAGCTTTACTGTGTCTCAACTCACTAGTAACATCTTTTCGCGGTTTAAGATATTAGAATACTAAGTAAAAACTTAATTAACCCTTTATGTTGATGCATGCATTGCAAAAGACGCGTATGCTGTTGAAGCATCTGATCTCAATTCTTTTAAAGTTCGTGGGATTCCCTTAGTTTTTTTTTAAAAAACACGGGTAACTAAGTTTAAATCAATCTATATTTTTGCAAATGCTTGCACATATTGTAATATAAACTACAATCAAGCAAGACAAGGTATGACGGTCTTTAAAAAATAAAATCAGGTAAAGAGTAACTTGCTTTACCACCACTCTAAACCTTTACTGGGATTCAAACGTTATTCTTTAACAAAAAATACAAATATACAGAACAAAAGTTTTACCATAAGCAGTGCGATATCAATGATAACCCTAGTTTAGATATCATATCAATTTATACAGACTAGACTGTAGGGCAGAACAATCACGACAATAGGAAATTTTCGAAAAACAATAATCATGTAATCATGGCAAGCATATACTGTCGATCAGAGATTGGGGTTGTCTAGCCGTTTGTTGAGGGATATATAGAGTTGCAAGCAACAGGACAAACTATTCCTTTCTGAACAGGGTTCATTTTTCATTGCCTAGAAGCAACCCCGATGGTACTGTCCATTATTTTATACTGATATGCCCAAAATGTATTCTTCAATGAAGAAATGTTTTGAAATGTCCTATAATGATGGACAAAAGCACGCTTCATGTTGTACACACACATTCGACCAGCACTCTATTCCATTGCAGAACAAGTCAAATGTCCGAAGCTTAACATTCATAATCGCAATATTATTAGGATTTGTGGTTTATGAATTGTGTCGCGTTCTTTAACCACTGTAGTGAAATCTTGGACCAATGTTGATAATCGTGATTTATTAAGTTTAACCTTGCATGTACGAATATATATATTCCAACAAAGGGCCAGAACCTTGTAACAACGTTCCCACAATACGGAAGTTATTTGAATTACTTATAAAAGTAGAGTTTTTAGCATGTTTAGTGCGATGTTAAATTATCCTGCTTCGAAGAGATTTTCTTGTCTTATGTCACTAAGTTTTGGATTGAACAACCGAAACTTTCACAATTTCTAAACGGATAAAAGGCGGTTCTAGTCATCAAAATGCCTTTTTAAAACTGAATTGAATTCGCATTTAGTTTGGCTATTCTGTCACAGTTACAAAATAATAAAATAAACAATCATATAATGATATGGTACTAGTCATAGGTAAAATAGACTTGCTTTTCACTGTCGTCGTATAAAATATGTTTGCTTTTGTTGATTGTTTTAAAACACTGTGACAAACATCACTTCCACATTAAACTGAAACTTTATCATATGGTCTAACTTGATATTCTAAACAAATTGTGTGATCTCGCGCCCTACGGGATTCTTGTATTGTTTTAGAAGAATCTAGCTCGGAAGCATTCTTCAATATATAAGCTGACATGTTTAAACATTTTTATTTAACCGAAAACGTGAAAAGAATATGATGAGACAGAATCAATTGTTAAGAATCCATCATGACAAATAATTAAGAATGTTAAAAATCGGTTTAGACAAATTTCGAATCTTAAGAACCTGTGAAGACAAATTCAGATTGTTAAGCATCTGTTCAGACCAATTTAGAATATTAAGAATTTGTTCAAAGGAATTCAGAATGTTAATAATACCTTAAGATAAAATTAGACCTTATTCCCAATTTTAGAATGGTAATTAAAATTCAGACAAATTCAGACAAGAATAGAAGCAAAATCTACATATTATAGAAGAGGGACGAAAGATACCAGAGGGACAGTCAAACTCATCGATCGAAAACAAACTGACAACGCCATGGCCAAAAATAAAAAGACAAACAGACAAATAATAGTACAGATGACACAACATAGAAAACTAAAGACTAGGCAACACAAACCCCACCAAAAACTGGGGGTGATCTCAGGTGCTCCGGAAGGGTAAGCAGATCCTGCTCCACATGTGGCACCCGTCGTGTTGCTTATGTTATTACAAATCCGGTAAATAGTCTAATTCGGTAGGTCACATTCGTGAAAAGGGAAGGGTATTGTAGTTACGACATAAGGAACATATCCGATATCATCTGTGAAACGGTTATTCTATAACGGTCAACCAACTCGTGATGGCGTCCGTAAAATTTACGAAGGAAGAAGATGAACATATGTTGGATTATTTCAATATTGAGGATTTAGAAATTAAGCAAATAAACAATATGAGGAGTCAGGCATTTGTCAATTGATTTTTACTGTTACCCTTCACGCAAGAGGTTTTTAGAGTGTTGTTTCCATATTGTTTATCCTTGTATTTATATTTTACTTAATTTGTACTTTATCGAGATGGTTTGTTCTATCAACTATAAAACCATTTGTATCTTCGTTTATCGTTTCAATATACTCTCAACTACAAAAACTTTTTTGTTGACGTCATTGTCAAGTTTACCATCAACCACAACTTTTTTGTAAACCACTTATAAACCGTAAGTTATAGAGACCTAGAGATACTCGATTTGAGGTCCTAGTTGCAATAAACAGGAAATTGAGTTCAAGCACTTAGTCAAGGTCATGTTCTAAATTTTCAATTTTTGCATGGTCTTAATTCTCTGGGTATTTTGGTTTGAGATCGTTGATTTGTAACCTAAAAATTGAGGTCAAGGTTAAAGGGAATTTTTCACATTCTGGATCTTTGCTGTCAGATGAGAAAACCTCTAGTATAACTTCATACTGGTACATGTCAAAGGCACAAAGTGTTTTGCGTTATAGATTTGAGAAAATACAACCTTAAAAAAATCAATTGGATGTAGCATTGGAAAAACAAAGAAACCATATATTTAAAGAATCAGTTTAATGTTACATATCATATGAACCGGAAGTGGCATTTTGAAGACCGGAAGGAGCACATTATCACTCTTATTTTAAGCAAAAGTATAAAAAACAATATTTTTTTCGAATCAGTTTTATGTGAGCTATGAAACTGGAAAGGGGATTTTGTAGACCGGAAGTTGTGAATTATATTCCTTATTTGAAAGAGAAATACATAGAGACCACATGTTTTTTAAATCAGTGAAATGTAAGTTATATATTCATTCACATAAACATTGATATAAAGGATGGACTATGAAATAGGAATATGGTCACACCGACTTACCTTTCCCATCTGACAGTAAAATCAATGCACAGTGATGGGTGTATTTAGCTTTGCTTTACATGTATGAGTGTTATGAAATGTTCATAATATAAAGTTCAAAAGTGTTTGCACAAAATAAAGAATGCCTTCTAAAGTCAACTTAAAGTCTATATTAAAACTGTAAAATTTCAAATATGGTGTGAAATCGCATTCACACAAAACAACATACTGACAGCATTTTTTAAATATAAATGTATGTCTGTGTAATGTGTAGCATTAGAATCACACTGGGCCATGTAATTACGCATAAGCTGTTAGAACAGGTATGCAGTAAATGGTTATTTCATAAAATAAATTTGCCCTGTGATTGGTTTGTCCGTATGTGTTAAATCCTACTAGTTGATTTGAGTTTTTATCATGCACTTTTGTTTTCATTAGGCAAGCCAAAGGTTTTCTTTTTTGATATGTGTCGAGAGAAACCGAAGCCGATAATTGGTGAACCAGAGGTTTTATCAAACGCACCTGAATCGGATAGTTTCCATGACGACAGTGATACCTTAATTGTGTACGCAGCAACGGAAGGTATCTATAATATTGTTTATAAGCAATAAACAAACAGTTTAAATAAAAAAGAGAAACAGTCTACTATATTCCTATTGAAAGCAAAAAAAAAAAAGAAAAGAAAATTAGAAGCAAAATCTACATATTTTAGAAGATGAACATACGTTGGATTATTTTAATATTGAGGATTTAGAAATTAAGCAAATAAACAAAACGATTTTTACTGTTACCCTCCACTTTCGGACGCAAGAGGTTTTACAGTGTTGTTTCCATTTTGTTTATCCTTGTATTTATATTTTACTTAATTTGAACTTTATCGAGATGATTTGTTCTATCAACTATAAAAACTTTTTTATCTGCGTCTTTTCAATATACTCTTAACTACAAAAACTTTTTTGTTGACGTCATTGTCAAGTTTACTATCAACTACAACTTTTTTGTAGGCGTATTTTGTTAGATTTATTTTTCTGTTTGTTTGAAATTTTAGTCAGTTGTGTTGTTTGCCTGCTTGATTCCAAATATTGTCATATTAATCTATTATGTCTGTTTGGGTTGCTCACTCAATTTTGTTTATATAACGGAAATATAAACAACTGTGATACAAGTGGGAGGTTTGGTTAGCAAAAAGCAGGGTTTACCCACCATTGTCTTCGGAAAATGCAAATACCAAGTCAGGAATATGACTCGTTCTGTTGGTTGCTAATGTTTAATTTTTGTCAGTTTTTCTAGACTTCCTCTTTTTGAATTTACCTTGGAGTTCGATATTTTTGTTTTACTTTTTCCTGTTTATTCCTGTCCCAAGTCAGGAGACTGTAATTCAGACTTTGACTTTGGTCGCTTCTTTCTATCGTTTTTGTTTTTCGTATTTTGTTTTGTACATAACATGTTGGTTTTTTTTGTTAAGTTTGATTTACATTTTGTGATGCCGGTGCTTTTGTTTTTTAGCTTACTTTATGATATTGGTTTTGCTCATTGTTTAAGGCCTCACATTTGCTTCCATCTACGTCATTATGTAATAGGTGGAAAGTTGTTTAATTGGCAATCATACCACATCTTCTATTTTTCATATATGTCGAAAACAATTATTTTTACTTTGAGCCATACTGAACATTCAATTTGTTATTATTTTTTTTTGTATATTTGCGTCCAATCATTTTGATTATGTTATTTAAAATCGGAAAACGGAAAAACTAATTCTTTCGTTTTTCATTTTTTAAACCTCATAAACCGTACAGCGAAAAAAGTCAAGTTTTTTTGTTTTGGATATATTTTAACAACATTTGAAAAATGTTGTTCAAAACCAATTTCAATTTCTGATTCTGAGTTTTTGAAAACAAAACTAGATGCTCTAAAGAGTCCGCATCGCTCATCTAAATTTATTGGAATCTTCAATAATGACCACTGTCTAGCATTATCAGCTATATATAATATTTATGACTTAATTCTCTTTTTTGTTGATCTTGTATTGGTGATTTTATTTTAGCTTTTTTATTTTTCTTTCTATCTACTGTCTACAATAGTTTGGGTAAAAGACAGCCAAACATACGTTACGTCGTCATTTAAGGGCACTCCTGCTTTGTTCATTTATTCTTTGATTTCGTTTTGCTTTGAAAAGTTTTTTTCTTTTCCCGACATAATAGTCTTCCGACAAAAAAGAATTGAAAACAAATGACCATTTAATAATAATATTGATAATATAAATAATTATAATAATGATAAAAATAATAACAATAATGATAATAATAAAAATAATAAAATAATAATAATAAAGATATTGATAATAATGATAATAATAATAATAATAATAAGAAGAAGACGAAGAAGAAGACCAAGAAGAACAAGAACAAGAACAAGAACAAGAAAAATTTCTTTATTCATTTGATGAGGGTAACCCAAATAGAACTTGTCTTTTTTTTTCATTTAAGCCCTCAAAACAAATGGATTTTGAACAGTGCATATTCGAAAGCAAAATGCAACATACATACATAAATCAATCATTCATGAAAATAGCAACATTAATGCAAGTTTTTATTTTCTAACCAAAAATATTAGTATCATACGATTTTGTTTGTCTTACATATTATTTCCAAGAAAAAATAAATGAAACACTGTTACTTGATTAGTTCTCTATTAAGACAATTTATTTTATTACGAAAGATAATACCATTAACGGTACCAATTTTATTGCACCAGATGAGTATTTAGGGTAAATGCAGTCGTTTAAATTGAGACACTTTTCTGTAACACATTTGTTTTATAATCTTGCAGTAAATCTACTATAGTCCACAAAACATGACAAAATGGGTAAAATTCGTCAAAACTCATAAACAGAATCGACAGTACTATAATAAAAGAGTTGTCGATCTTGTCTTGCTGGTCATAAAATTGAGAATGGAAATGGGGATTGTGTCAAAGAGACAACAACCCGACCAAAGAGCAGAAAACAGCCCAAAGCCACCAATGGGTCTTCAACACAGCGAGAAAATCCCACACCCGTAGGCGGGCTTCAGCTGGCTTCTTAACAAAAATGTGTACTAGTTCATTGAAAATGGACGTCACACTAAAATCTAAAACATATAAATGAACTAAAATAAAAAAAAAAACATACAAGACTAACAAAGGCCAGAGGCTCCTGACTTGGGACAGGTGCAAAAATGAGGAGGGTTAAACATGTTTTTTGAGATCTCAACCCTCCCCTATACCTCTAGCCATTTGTTAAAAATGTAAACATTTAGCTATTTATTGGAAAGTAGAATACTTTTGTAGCATAAATATGGGCTGTTTTTGACAATACAATGCACATGCATCAGGTATTAAGTAAAGTATGCGACATTACAAAAATCTTCACAATTTTAACATTTGTGCTAATTTTTAGACGGATTTTGTCTGAAATCTTAAATGGAAGTGGCCGCACTTGTGTTCAGTCTTAATATTTAAATATATGTTATTTTTTATAAATGTACTTAACATGTTATAAAGGTTGAGACTGAACACGAAGGCGGCCACCTTCATTTTAGACAAAAAAACATCTGAATAGTGTTATGGCATATTTGATAAATTTGTCATATTTAAGCTAGAATTGGAGCGTCTTTAATGACCAAATCGGTTCAAATCATTTACATAAATTAACTGAATCTACTGAAGTAGACATTTAAATTGGTGACTATGTTGAACGCATCTATCCCATCGAACTAGAGATAAAGGATACAACAGATACAGTTAAGTCTGCCTCATATCTTGACCTACATCTAGAAATTGACAATGAAGGTCGGTTGAAAACAAAACTTTACGACAAAAGAGATGATTTCAGCTTCGCAATTGTGAACTTTCCATTTCTATGTAGCAACATTTCAGCAGCGCCTGCATACGGAGTATATATTTCCCAACTGATACGATATTCCCGGGCTTGTATTTACTATCATGATTTCCTTGATAGAGGGTTGCTGCTCACAAGGAAGCTATTAAACCAAGAGTTCCAAATGGTGAAGTTGAAATCATCCCTTCGTAAATTTTATGGACGCCATCACGAGTTGGTTGACCGTTATGGAATAAACGTTTCACAGATGATATCGGATATGTTCCTTATGTCGTAATTACAATCCACTTTTTTTTCACCACAAATGTGACCTACCGAATTAGACTATTTACCAGATTTGTAATAACATGAGCAACACGACGGGTGCCACATGTGGAGCAGGATCTGCTTATCCTTCCGGAGCACCTGAGATCACCCCCAGTTTTTGGTGGGGTTCGTGTTGCTTAGTCTTTAGTTTTCTATGTTGTGTCTTGTGTACTATTATTCGTCTGTGTGTCTTTTTATTTTTTGTCGGTTTGTTTTCGATCTGTGAGTTTGACTGTCCCTCTGGTATCTTTCGCCCCTCTTTTTAAGTGTTTAAAAAATGTAAAAAAACCTTTCATCAGATGTACCTCAAATTTTAGGCCAAAATTAGCCCTTTCCAGACTTTGTTAAGAATACTAGTACTGATGTTTCTAGTAATTCTCTTTCATCATCAAATTGCGAACTTTTAAAATAAAGTGAAAGTCATCCCCAATATCTCCTGAATTACAAAGTGACACAATTACGTTATTTTGGGGACTGGAAAATTCCTGACAAAATGAATTACTTCAATAATGGCAAAAACGAAACTAAAAATTTTGTACTGCTGATATCTTTGGGAACTAAAATTAGTTACTTGGTGTAGTGATAGTAAAATAAAAGTATCGTATGAATTCGTCTAAACAAACATGTTCTGGAACAGCATTCATCAGGTACGCTCAAGACTGCAAAATCAGAAAAGCTAAGAAAATCATATAACTTTGGGGAGCTTCTGTAAAGTCAAAAGGAAACAGATCAATCAAAACTAACTTATCAAATTTGGCCTTTGAAATGACAATGACTTCAGAGGTACTTAACAATTTAAAAAAAAGGAAATTTATGTTTTTTCTTATACCACTTCTTTATTCATTTTAGGTAATCGGTCCTATCTAATGCCAAGCGGTAAATGGATAGGGTCATTCTTTATCCAGGCCTTTTTGTCTGTAGCAGAAGGTTCATTACACATAGATGTAGAGGACATACTGAGAGATGTTAGACGAGAATTAGCAAATAATTCTGAATATGCCAGGATCGGAAAAGACAAGTGTATGCTTTCAGAAAGTGAAACTAGATTGTCAAAAAAGATTTATTTGTAAATTTCATGAGTCATTTTACAAAAGATCAAACGACAGTTGCGGTTTATTTTGATTTATTCTGATACATTTAGTATCAATATGTACCACATTATTGTATAAATGCCATTGATTAATTCCAAGTCATACAAACCTATATTGTAAATTACAAAGCTGTGGTAAGTATCAAAGTTTTGTGAAATATTTTACCACTAAGTCCACTCAAGCATAGATAAAATAATAGTTAAATGTTAAACGATAGCTATAGTGTCATTTCTTTTTTCTCCCACTTGGTTGAAAAGTAATTAGAACAACAGGTGGGTTTTACGCAAGAACCACAAAAGTATGTAAGGTAAAAACCAAGACTCATGAATTAGATGTTAAAGCACTGTTACGGCTAGCAAATGATATCCATTCAAACTGTTCTATTGGGAGTACACACATTCCAAAAAGTAAAATAACAAAAATACAGAACTCCAAGGAAAATTCGAATCGGAAAGTCCCTTATCAAATGGCAAACTCAAAAGCTCAAACGAAAGGAAAACAACTGTCACATTCCTGACTTGGTACAGGCATTTCAAAATGTGTTGTTTACATAGTTTTCTTGTAAGTAACTGTTAAAGAATTATTTTTCATGTTATATTTATTTTCGTGATTTTAGTTCTACTCTGAAATTCCGAACGTCTTTGTGTGTTTATAACAATATTTTTGTCAAATAGATTGACACACCCAACCTATAACAATAACCATTCCTAAATCGAGAATATATATGTTTTGTACTAATGTAGGCAATACAATTTATTTCTAGGATAGTCACAATTAAATTTCATTTCCTTATTAATACCCATACAAATATATATAACACATATCGTAGATAAAATGTAGTAGGTACAAGAGCCACAACTAAAATAAAAGGTTTCCACGTAATTATTTTCCTAGCATTAAGCATATTTACATTTTCCTGGTTTTAACTTATTAATTTGATGTCGTCCATAGTGTTTCTGAGTTTTGGTAAGATAAATTGTCTTCCTTTTCATGTAGCCCTTATTATGTAATAACTTGTATAAATGTTTTAATAGTTTTTCTTTCTTTTTTTTTTCTTTGTTGAACTATTTCTTTATTTTTATTTGTTCTCTGTTGACTTATGTTGACTTGTTGATTTTGTGTTTTTTTTTTAAGGAATTATATAATGTAGATGTTTTGTCGTATATATCGAATGTTTTTAATAACAGACGTAATTAAAGTATTCATGTAAATGCAATTGTCATATTTTTATTATTTATTAAGAAAGTTGCATTCAGTAGAAGTTTTTAAGATAGCAACGTATATTGAAACAAATAACAGAAAATCGTGGACATACAATATCCAAAGCTCTCTCCGTACCACCAATTTTTACATTGTTCCTCGAAATCTTTATTATTATATACATAATTTTCCTAAATCTTCCCGTTTACAATAACAACGTTTCCGAGCACATCGGTCTAAAATTGCCACGGGAACTTTCAAAATTAAAGGAACTTGTTTTTACACAAATTATTTTCTTTTAAAAGATTGTTTAATGTTTGAACAATTGATGTATGAGATCGTTTGGACTTTTTGATTATGATTTTTAAGGCTGCATATCATTCTATTGGGTTGATATTTTTTTTATTAACATGAATATATTTAGGAAGGGTCCGTGTAACACTTAATAATCCAAAATTTGAAAACGTTTTCGAATTTTAGATTTTTAATTTTTTATCAAAGTTTTAAAATATCAACATTCCAAGTTTTTGAAATGTTTTGAAATTTTGAAAATTTCACCAAATAATTAAGATTTTATAATACTATAATTCGTTTTTGAAATTTAAAAGTTTAGATATTTAATCAAACTTTAAAAATACTAATCTTAAATTGCAGTTTTGATCATTTGGCTTTTTGAAAGTTTAATTTTTTTGATTTTTGATTAAAAATTTAAGAAAGGTCTAAAAGGTAAAATCATTATCACGATGGCGCTTGCTGGATTTTTCAGGCTCACAACAGGTCCTCTGGACATCAACAGATATGAACTGGAACTACAATTTAAGGAAATGAACGCACGATAACGTACATCCAGCCATTATCAATTGGATTTACAATTTCTTTTGATCCAGTGGAGATCGTACCAAGTTTTAAACATGTACGTTATTGAGGATCAACAGCTCGACTTATGAAAAATATCGAATACATATAAATGTCCTGTAGATTTTTTTTAATGAAGCTGTATGGTTATTTTCAATAAGCAGAAACTATTGATTGGTTGCTTTCGGTGCTTAACGCCTAGTCGCCAATATTTCATGCATTATCAGGTCGTGAACGTTTGTCATACACTTTTCCATGAATCACCCTTAACCCGGAAATTTACCTTTATCCATTACCCTTAACCAGGAAACAAAACTTTTCCAAAATATTTTCCAACAGAGCAAAATGTTTTATAGTAGGTCTTTTGAAAGGATATATAGTAAAGTCATAAATATATTTAGATGAGTAGTATTATGATAATTGGAATAAAATGCACAAATATTGAATTAATCCTTATTTGTAAAGGGAGAAATCATTAAAAATTTGTATTTAATGTAAAGGGAGACAACTGCAACGTATTACTCTAAAACGGAAACAATTTACTCTATTTAGAAAATACAATATGTAAATATTGAATGCACAGCTTTTAAGGAGTATAGCTATTATAAAAAACAAAACGCATATTTCAACACAAAAATGCACATCAAAGATTAAATCAACTATATAATAAATAATATATAAATAAATGAAACCCAAATGTAATCTTATTTCCTTCAACAATCTTGCAGTTTAAAAAAAAAGTCCGAAATTAATTATATTTTTGTATGATTAAACGGGAAGAAATAGTTGTACCTCCCCAAACAAAGTTTTGATGTGTAGATACACGAATAAATCTGTCTGTCCGTCGGCTTATCTGCCGGTGTGCATTGTAAGCGCAACTTCCCCATAAACGGCTGGGCAGATATTTGATGAAAATTTCCAAAGTTGTATATAACAACCTGATGATGTGCAGAAAAGATTATTATCCCTGTCTAACATGTCAAAATTGAGAAAATCAAATTTTCTTTTTTTATATATGTTCCGGACCATATGAGTAGTTGGACCATACGCGTATGGTCATGACGTTATGCGTATATACTCATATGGTCCGACCATACGTGTATGGTCCGGTTAATTAACACGATTAAAAGGAGTCCAATTAATTAAGAGTTTCTAAAAATGAAAGTTTTACTTATTCAATCATATTGTAATCATTGTTACATGATTAATGAAATATAGTGAATTTTGCTTACAAGTAAGAATTATAGTAAAATCATTTTTACATGATTAATGAAATAAAGTGAATTTTGCTTACAAGTAAGACTTATAGTAAAACCATTTTTACATGGTCATTATTGATTTGTCCTTACATTTGTACGAAACGCAATATGTCACAGAAGAAACAAAAAATACATTCACGGACAGAATTAATCGAACAATAGACGGTTTCCTGGAAGAAAAAAAGGAACCAATAACAACCATAATAAAAGAGGCGAAGGAAAAAATTGGAGTGACAAGTAAAAGTGCAGGTACAGCAAGATCAATAATGTACAAAAAATTAGTGGAACTGAAAGACCTTAATGACAGTAAGCTTTCCGAATTCAAAGCAGCAATCCGTTACAAACAATCCGAAAAACACAATGGACCATATGATCAACGGAAAAGACACAGAGACAATTAATATAATTACTAATTAGTGTTATAATACTATGGAAATTTGTTATCATGTTGTCATTGGATTTTCTATTTCTTGTTCAATAAAACAAGTGTTAATCTGTCATCTTAATTGGATTTTAATTTTCATAGTACCACTTTTACCACTCCTCAATACAGATAAGTCGAGTTATGCATGTTAATTAAGGTATCAATATATTGGATAACATATGTTTACTTTCCAACCACTGACATAAAAGGTCAGCTGAGGTCAATATCATGATTTATTATTAAGTAGATGTACAATAAAATTTGTGCATTCAGTTTCCATTTGTCTGTGATTGCAGACAGCTGGTTTTTCCATTGTGGTTTGTATTAGGCGTAAAGGTTATAACTATGATCGCAATTACAACTTTCAGCATTCGTCAATATAAAAAATGGCTCGCAGATTGAAAAAGAAAGTTAAAACTGTTAAACAAAAAATAAGAAAACTCGATCGGGTTTCTAGAAAGAATAGACAAAAAATAAGCACAGGTATATAAAGCTAAACAATATGTATATAACTTAGCTAACTGTCAATTGACAGACGAACAATACATAGTTCTAGGTAAGGGTTTAAAATTTATACCTATGCCTAAGAAGTGCAATATAGGCAAAACTGTAATGACAGACTTCAATGAATTTGCCAGAAAACTTGGATGTCGTTTTCATTTTGGTAATACAGAAAGTCGGGGAATGCATCCGTTCTGACAGAAATCTTTTTATGAACCAACGACTGCTTGCTTTGATCTTGATAATTATCTAGATCTAACAAAGTTTGAATTATCTAATCTTGATTTACGAAATAACTACTTTAATCTCACTAAAGAACAACAACTAGGATTACGATCTTTGAGAAACATGCATGATATAATTTTCTCTAAGAGCGACAAAGGAGGCGCAATTGTAATATCTAAAAAGACCCACTACATTAAGGCAGTTAAACTCCATCCATTACACGGAGATACAAGAACCTAATCTATTACTGATTAAAAATAATATACAAACACAAATCAGCAGGATGTTTGACAATGGTGAGATTGATGGGATAACTCTTGATTTTCTCCGTGGCTCGTCGAAAGAGGGACCCAGATTGGGTGGTCTTTTTCTTCTTCCTAAACTTCACAAATTAAGTGAACATGTTATTCAAGGGATAAAAAAACAAACGATGGCAGTAAATGAATTGCCCCCATGCAGACCAATTATTTCTCAATGCAACTCTGTCACCGAAAGGGTTAGCAACTTTATTGATTACTTTTTGATACCTATAGTTAAAAGACAAACCAGTTACATTAGAGATAGTGGGGATTTCATAAATAAAATAGAAAATTTAAGGCCTGATCGGGATTGCCTTTTAATCTCTTTTGACTGCACCAGCATGTATACCAACATGGAGTTCAATGAACTCATTCAATCTGTTGGACGGGCTTATAGCAGTGCAGTAAAAGAAGATTATCCGATAAAATTACCTAGCTGTGAAACAATTTAATCGTTAGTAGCCACAGTGTTGAAAAACAATTATTTTGAATTTAATGACTGATGCTTTGTACAGAAAATAGGCGCTAGTATGGGAAGTAAATGCAGCCCAGAAATTTTTGATATTAGAGCTTTCGAAGTTATCAATGAAGTCATTGAAAAATATAAGTATAAAAATAAGATTTTATTTTACGGAAGGATTAGAGATGATGCGTTTATAATAGCTCATTCATCACGAGAAAGGTTGAGGAGTTCTTTAAAATATCAAATGATCATCACCCTTTATTAAAGTTTACTTATTAAATTTCAAACGAAGAAATTATTTTACAGTCATACATAAAGGGAAGAGGTTCAGGAACATCGGTATCCTTGATATAAAGAGCTACATCAAACCTACTAATACATTTCAATATTTAGATAGGACGTCTATGCATAACCCAACAGTCTTCTCAGGATTTTTAAAGAGGAAGCTATTCGCCACCACCGAAACAACAGCAACACACAGAATTTAAAAGAAACAATTTGAAAATTCAAGGGGCAAAGGGGATATAAGAAACATGACATATATCGTAACTGTGAATCGGCTCTCAATATCGAACGATCAGAGTTACTCCGCTTTAAACAAGAATCTGACAAGCAGATACCACTAGTATTTGTAACTAAATATCACTTTTCATTAGGAAATATAAATAAAGTTTTGCATAAACTTTATAAAAAACTACTTCGCAATGCGAAATGTAGGGAGCTATTTCCAAAACCACCAATGGTGGCGTACAGTAGACATCGGAACTTAAAGAAATACTGACTAGCTCGGTAGTTAAAGCTTAGTACAAAATGAAGGATTAGGTCAGAACCCCTGAAGAAGCACCCACCCTTCATATGAGCCACGGAATATTGTAGAGTTTGTCCTATTCTGTACTGCAGAAACACGATGTGTTGTGTCCTGGAGATTAGGCAAACGTGGCTGTTAGGTACTTTCAGACATTCAACATTTAAATGTATGCACAACATTTCCTCTTAACCACAAGTGATGTCTAGTGTCAATTCCTTATTTCTTTTGATTTAATTTATTCGATATATATATTTGAACAAAAGTACTTATTCACAAAATCATCAATGCCACCCCCTATTTTCAAATTGAAAACGGACTTCGAAAAATACTGCGAATGTGAGCTGGTTCCTATTTTCATTTTTTCTTCGGGTTAACAGATAAACGGGAGACATAATTTTAGATCTCGACAGCTACTTTTCTTATTACAGTATAAGTTCAATGAAAAGATAACTAAATTTTGACAAATACATAAAAAATGACAAATCATCAACATAATTTACCTTCTCAAATAAAAGAACTGCTTATTGATACTTGTAGACATATTTACTTCATAATATTGAAATTTCCAGGATGAGAGTATTTCGTAAGAGTAAATTATCGGCATAAAGGTTATTCCTGGATAAGTGTATGACAAACGTAAGATAAAAAATAAATCAATTGCAAAAATTGCAAAGTTGAAATATTTTTGAAAAACAGGAACAACAACAAAAAAATTTCTTCGATAACTGTACATGACTTGTCAACGAATATTGCTATGTGCTGCAAGGAGTAAATGTCAATCTTGCATTGTCATATATTTCCAAAGTGTGTTCGTTTTTCGTTTTTTATATCTTGAAACAAAAAAGGGATAGACGCATATATACACGTACCCTTGTATCTTTTTAGTTTTATTTATTTCAAGTTAATTATTGTTCAAAGCAAGTTTGTGTTATTCTTTTGGAATCAAACAACAATAGTAATGCATAAACAAGAGGTGATAAATACTAAGGAGACATCCAAAACTCCTAAGTCGGAGAGAAATTGACAACGCCATGATCGAAAACGAAAGGCGACAGAAAGACAACCAAGACCATAACGCACTACATAAAGAGGTGACTGATCAACACAAACCCTACCAAAAACTTTTACAGTCACTCCTTCGAAGGTTTTACGGTCGCCACCACGAGTGGTACACACTATTACGGAAACGTTTGTAAATACCACGTTGGCTGCTCCGTTAGTAAACGAAAACTTTGTGAACAAGCATCCTCATGGTATATATACTATAAATTCATGGATATTTATGAGACAGCAATCTCTTGTATTAAAAACTTTTCAAGGTTTTACCGGGGCGGATCCAGGTTCTGATCAAAGTGGACCGGTGTAATCGTCAAAAATGGTCAAAATACCATAGAGCGCAGTCTCTACCCCACTTTCCCCTGATTCAGTCGCTGGTTAAGTTTAAATCCATTGATAAATCTGTGTCAGCATACAAAGTTTACAAAAGCATCTTCACTTTGTGTAGACAGACATTAGATGAATGTACATGTACATGGATTAATATAAAAATAAGGAGATGGGTTATGATTGCCAATAAGACAACTTTCCACTAAAGTTCAAATTAAGTGGACGTAAGCAATTATAAACAACCGTACGGCCTTCAACAATGAGTAAATCCCATACCGTATAGTCGTCTATAAAAGGCCCTAACATTAAAATTATGAAACAATTCAATTGAGAAAACTAACGGCTTATAAGCATATTTAAAGGAACAATGATATGATTGTTGCTCACCATCTAAATTATTAATCACTGAACAGTCTAGTATGACCCGAAAAACCAAAGAAAATATTCTAAGCTCTAAATAAAGCAAATTTAATATGTAAAAACGGTCCAAATCATTTCTTGTAAGGATTTGGATTTTTCATCAACTCTTAGATTCATTTTGTTTTAAATACACCTAAATAAGATTGTGTTTCAATAGTTTTGTAAAACAGAATATTCTTTTTTTAGACAATGCTGCGTCAGATTCCCCCATTGAAATGTAATATAATTTTCTTTTAAATCGTGCCCCCCCCCCCTTTCCCCTAAACCCAATTAAGTTAAATGGTTGTTCCTTAACTGGATTGTTGGGGCAAGATTTTCATTGAAGTTTACACAACCGAGCGCGGTTCATATGTTATAGAATTGTGTTCCCTGCTAGAATTCTCGAGGGGATAGATGAAAAATTCTGTTCAAAGGATATCATATTGCCTGCTTTCAGTTTGATTGATTCATTGATGTTTGCTTACCATCCGGTGACAAATATTTCATGCATGTTCTGGATGGGAATAAATTACCAAAATTTTATACCGATATTCCAATTTCCAATAATCAAACTTTATAACTTACTAATATAACTACAACAGCACATGTCATATACAAAATTTGCTGAAAGATTGCCACAACTAATTTTTTCTGATAACTTATGCTTCTTGTTTCGCAGAGGAAAACATAGAACGTACAGTAGATGTTTAAAATTGGTACGGACTAAACTGGATAAAAAAAAATGTAAATCCAATTGATAATGGCTGGATGTAAGTTTAAGTGGTACCCTGGGAAATTATTTTCGATAAATATCGTAGGAAGGTTGCTCAAGATATCGACCAGGATTCCAGATGAGATGTACGGAAACTATGCAATCACGTGCGGTTTGTTCGAAACATTTAACAATTCAAAATTTTAAAAAGATTTCATTTTTTTTTTTTTTTTAAATCAAAGTTTTGAAATATCAACATTCCAAATTTTTTAAATGTTTTGAAATTTTA